AGAAAGGGGAGGTAGAGGGGGGAAAGGGGGGGGGGGGCGGGGGGGGGACATGTTGGGGCGCCAAAATGGTTTGGAAAAATAAATTGAAAGGTTGAGGGGGGGTTCACATCAAAAGTTTCAGGGGGGGGGGGGTTGAAAATTGAAATCTTGGGGGGGGGGGGGGGGGTTAAAATCGAAAAGTTTGTCCCCGGGCGCCGGGAAGGGTCGCTATGCCTCTGAGTGACAGACATGATGTTTTTTGATGGATGACCCCCGAAACCCACAGTTATCCAACGGATGACGGGTATTCTAGTAATTATTAAAATTTAAGGAGTCGCCTGTTTTTCACATTACTAGTCACGGGCGTTTTTACATACCTAAAACGATAGATTACCCTAAGTTACTTGGTTCAAAATTTAATGTGACTCACGGCAATGCATGGGACATGTTTTCATAACAACCATTGTTAAAAGCCTCTTATTTATAGTTATAGTAAGCCATAAATAGGGTTTTAGTTTTACTTTTTAAAGTGCTAGGCACTTGACGTGGTTTTAAGGGGAAGGCGCTGGTCAAAAACACTAAATTGGGTTGGAAATATCACTTTTCCAATGTTATCATTTTTAAATAGTTTAGTATGTGTAGATTCGATTATCGTCATTATGATACCGATTTTATAGTGTTTAGACTAACTGGAAACAAAATAAACACCCCACCCCAAGTAAAATCTTGACCTACTTCACAAAAATGTGAAAGTACACAATAAATAACAAAGCTTCCTAGCTAGCAACTGTTTAGGCTAATTATTAAATATGGTCATGTTATACATCTTTGAAATCGTCATTCTTAGTATTGTACTAAAAAGCGATATCTATGCTAGCCTATACGATTCGAGGCTTCAATTACAGGCACTATCAGTTCGTTTCATTGGATTTTATTGTTGCACATATTTTGATTGGTCGACAGCTGACCTAAATAGACACATCTCCGGTAAATTTGATTCTGCGCATGCGCACACCTTTATTTACACTCTTGATCGTCCATAATTTAATTTCTAGTGTCTATTTGATTCGAATACGTTCTATCAATTTCTCTTGCTTTATTCATTAAAACACCTGTCAAAATGCCCAGTAAAGGATATCGTTTTGATAAAAAAAAAACGATATCAGACGCAGAGAGGAAAACATTCTAAGAATCTTAAAGAATCTACTAACTCTAGGTAAGTCTTTTATTTTTTATGATTGTTATCTGAGGGCCATCGCTGCCATGTGTTCTTATTATCATTATATTTATCACATTCTGAAGTAGACCTAGATAGATCTGCAAGATTGCAGAAATAGATTATAAATCTAGATCTAGATACTAATTACTTTTCTTAGTAAAAGTAGATTAGCGTAACCAAAGTATAAGTAAAATATGTTACTGTCTTAGAATAGTATGTCCTAGATTATAGTAGTCTAGATAGATCTAGAAATCTATAGTCTATACTAGATCTAGATCTATCTATATCTCTTCACCTTGTAATAATTATTATAAGGTTGATGTAATGTGTACATATGTGTAACAAGTATTTACTAATAATAATTTACTGGTGAATTCATTTTAGATTGCGCCTAATGATTTTTTAAAAAATATTTATGGGCCTAGGTCTACCTAGACTAGATCTATCACGTATTAGTTATTCTAATGTACATACAACTGCTATTACTATCTAATGTAAAAATTAATAGTGCTAAAATTTATAATTATTGTTTTCTTTATTTCTTCAGCTCATCTGTTGATCCTGTAGTGCCTGCTGATGAAGTAACTGACAGCCCTGCACAACCACAGAACTATGGTAGAGGAGAACAGAAGTTCTCAGTGTACGAAGCTTGTAATGTGGCTGCAACGACTGAATCCTACTTCGTTATTCATGAAAGCTTCTTGTTATGTCTGCTAGCTGCAGTTTCATGTAGAAATTGTGGGTGCAATAATCTTCAGTTATCTGTAAATTGTAAAGCATTCCAATGGACTCGCCACTAAACAGAGAGTGAGAGTTTACTGTCCTGAATGCGAATATGACTGGATTGGCTGGACATCACCCCTAGTCAACAAACAACATGACATTAACCTGAGAACTGTACTTGGTTGCAAGGATACTGGGATTGGTTATGCAAAACTCAAGTCTCTGTTGTCAATCATGAATGTCCAAAATCAGATGCACCACAAGACATTCCACAAAATAGTCTAAACTGTTGGCCATGCAGCTGTCGCAGCAGCAGAGGAAGCTGTTTGTCAAGCAGCTCAAGTTGTTGCAGCACGAGCAACAGCTGCAGACCCCCTGCCTGATCAGGCAGTAAGCAACACTGGATGTCCAGTCATCACTGTGTCCTATGATGGGACATGGCAAAAACGTGGCCACTCATTCCATAATGGTGTCGGTGTTGCCATAGATGTTGACATTGGCCTGGTGTTGGATACTCAGGTTATCAGCAACTACTGTGAAACATGTGCTGCTGGTCAAAAGCGAGGTTCACCACAATATGATGAGTGGATGCAGACTCACAAACCAAAGTGCCAAAAAAATGCTGACTGCTCGTCAAATGCCATGGAGACTGTGGCAGCAAAGCTAATTTTTGAGAGGTCTGTTGAACAAAGAAAGCATGTGTATGGCACAATATTATGCGACGGAGATGCAAAAGCATTTCATGAAGTGCAGAACTGCTATGATATTCCAGTAACTAAAGAAGATTGCATAAACCACATAGCCAAAAGGATGTTCAATGCACTAGATGATTAAAAAACACTAATAAGACTGCATTGAATAGGAAACTAACAAAACCTGTGATTGAAAAGATAACCAACTCTTATGCTAAAATTTGAAGAATAATGCCCCTGATGTGGAAAAAATGAAGCAAGGTGTGTTGGGTGGATTTTCCACATGATGAGTACTGACAAATCACCTTACCACAGGCTCTGTCCTGTTGGAGAAAATTCATGGTGCCATTTTCAAAGGGCTAAGAAAAGTGGACAATTCAAATAAACACAGGCCAACAATACATTCACAGCAGAGGCGGGTCGGCTGATATATCCAATAATTGTTTGCCTAACAGAGACAAATCTCCAGCATTGTTGTGCAAAAATGTGCACTCAAAATGCCAATGAGAGTTTCAACTCTCTAATATGGAGTCGGTCGCCAAAAGTGTTTTTCGCCTCGAAGTTTGCCACCCAGACTACATTGCTAGCAATACTTTTGTTTAATTGTGGTCCTGTAGGAATAAAACTGGCCATGGACAAGATTGGGTGCCAGTGGAGCACAGTTAATAATAAATATGCCATTGCTATGCAACAGCTCCAGGAAGCGCAAGCTGGGTATTTCAAAATGGAGAGAAAATATGAAAAAGAGACGTTTAGGGGTGGAGTATGAACATGAGTGTAAGGAGGGTACCACATACTCTCCTAGAGGTTTTAACAACTAGAATCTCTTAATATATGGACATACTCTGTGAAAAATGTGTTATCATGCTGTTATGATGTAAATAAAAAATTTTTTGTGCTTTTGAAACTTAAAATGTCATTTTTCTCAAAACTCGGTTTTCAACTTTTTTTTGTTCGTAGAGTTTCCACCAATTATTTAATATACATGCCAGAGACATGAGACTTGGCATACTTATAGCTTATTCAATTCTGGGGGCATTCAGCTATACTAGAAGGCATTTGGTTTATAAGTTTTTTAAACATAAATTTTTAAACATTCTAAGGGGTGTTAAATTGAGTGTTTTTGTCAATACCGAAATTTGAAAACTCACAGAAAATTAGTTTAAAGATCTACACTTAAAATGTATAGCTGAGTGCCTAAAACTATGTTAATTAGGCTTAAAATGTTTAACTTTTAAAATGTTGGAAATCCTACAAATAGGTCAATTTTTCAAGATGGCTGCCGTTGTCATAGTTAACAACAAAATTTTACCAATTTTTTTTAGTGGAAATGCATATTCAGAGGAGTTCCCTAATAAAATGGTTAAAGTTTGATTTCATCATATGGTTGAAAGTAAAAGAAGCAGTACACATATTACTAACCTCTAACTTGTTGAGTAGAAGAAATCAGCACACTGCTTATTTCCTCACCAGCTGGCTAGAGAAATTAAGCATGTTGCATATTTCCACTCTAATGTATGATAAAAATCAGAAAAAATGCTAACATACACAATGTGCTCCAAATATGAGATTTGTTAAGGATGCTCTACCCTTCATTTAGTAACAGAGAAAATTGAAGTCAATCCTACTGTATTATAATAATCATGGCAATGGCTTCATTCTCATGCCATCAAAATATTACCATAGTTAGCATGGATGTTAGTATAATATGAATAGCAAAACTCAAAAAGGCAAAACAGTACATTATGAAACATAGCTGTGAAACTATGTGTAAACTGGACCAATAAAAAAATGGACAAATAAATTATTTGCCAGCCAGATTTAGTTTTTGTTGTTGTTATTTAATATATATATATATGAAAACACTAAACAGTGTTATTGCAAAGAAATAAGCAACTACCCACAATTAAATTAAACATGTCTTTAAATGTCGCATCTCTTTAAGCTGTTAGTTACAAAGAATTATCAGTAATACTACTGTTGTGTGTAAAATTTTATGTTCATCTTGCTGACCTCTTTTATTTTACTTGCATAAAAAGTGTAATATTATGAACCTTATAAAAATGAACACATTGTATTCGAGCAATATTAACAAATAACTGACACTAATAAGAATATAACAATGACAATAATTTAATCAAAAGAAATACAACTATTTATACTTAACTTGTCTTAGTAGACCTACTCAGTACAAAAACTCATGGACAAAATGTTCACTAAGTGGCTAGAGGAGATGTAGGCTACTGATTAAGTTATATAATAATTTAATTTAATAGCAGGCAGTGTAATACATAGATGCTTGTCTCATGAAAATAACATTATTTTAATGTTTTTTTGATTCACTGTTGTCACAACATACTCTGATTTATTTCATCTTGTACTTGCAGTGATGCATTTCGACATCCCAGTTACAATACCCCAAGCCAGGGCCAAACTGCGAGAACTTTTCTTGAAAAACAAACATGTGACAGACATCCGTGCCATTGACATGCTTGTCATTAAGGTTGGTCATTACTGAATTAATTAAATAATTAATTTATTAAATAATATTTATAAATAAAGGTCAGCAGCAGGCCTATGTACAATAAAAAAGATATTTACACTTTTTCAATTTCTGATTTTTATTATCTTTAACTTGGTAAGGGCTGCATGATCCATAGGTCATTGTTTGAGGCCAAGTAAAAGTCAAGTTCCCTTTCAAGTGGAGTAGAGTTCACTTGTTTCTGTGACCTCAGCGTATGAAGAGATAATGTGGTCAGCACTATGCCCAGCCGTTGAGGCCTAGTAGGATGTGAAAATTGTTTTTCTTTATTTAGACTTAGATGAAATCTAGCTTGTGAATAGATAGCTGAGATATCTATAGAAAAATGCATTTTATGTGGAGAGCACTGCAAGGCAACGTATTTAATTAGTAACATAGGAACCCCTTTTATATTGTCAGAGAACTAATTTGGTTTATTTCAAGTATCTCCATTATATTAAAAAATGGAAAAAAAAAACAATTAATATTTTTTGTTACCATTAAAGTCTACATTTTCAGCTTCTTCTGCCTCATGTTATACTAGAGGGAACATTTATCAAATACATTTAAAAGGCATAATTTTCTCAATAAATAACTGGGCCCTTCCAGTTTTTATTAAATAAAATGTCCAGCTTCTATGGGATGGGTTAGTTCAGCTATCTATGCTACTGATAAGTGGCTACACAATCCATACATGGGCTAACATGAACTAGGATCCATATGTCCTATGGACATCCTGAATTTAGTCAAAAAATGTCAGAAATGATTTTCTTTCACCTAAATTAATTCTAATTTGATACTACTACATTGATTGTTGATGTTATGCTGTCATCAATTTAATGTTGATGTTATGCTGTCATCAATTGATTGTTGATGTTATGCTGTCATCAATTGATTGTTGATGTTATGCTGTCATCAGTTGATTGTTGATGTTATGCTGTCATCAATTGATTGTTGATGTTATGCTCTCATCAATTGATTGTTGATGTTATGCTGTCATCAGTTGATTGTTGATGTTATGCTGTCATCAATTGATTGTTGCTGTTATGCTCTCATCAATTGATTGTTGATGTTATGCTGTCATCAGTTGATTGTTGATGTTATGCTGTCATCAATTGATTGTTGATGTTATGCTCTCATCAATTGATTGTTGATGTTATGCTGCCATCAGTTGATTGTTGATGTTATGCTATCATCAATTGATTGTTGATGTTATGCTGTCATCAATTGATTGTTGATGTTATGCTGTCATTATGTTACTACATTGGTTGTTGATGTTATGCTCTCATCAATTGATTGTTGATGTTATGCTCTCATCATGTTACTACATTGAATGTTGATGTTATGCTGTCATCAATTGAATATTGATGTTATGCTGTCATCATGTTACTACATTGATTGTTGATGTTATGTTGTCACCATGTTACTACATTGTTGATGTTATGCTGTCATCAGTTGATTGTTGATGTTATGCTGTAACCATGTTACTACATTGACTGTTGTGTGTTCTCAGGGCCAGATGGATCTTGTAGAGACTACAAATATCTGGAAACAGGCAAACCATGTTATGGCATATTTTAAAGACACTGTCAATCCCAAGCCAACAGATTTTCTTTCAAAGTTTTATGAGGGCCAGGATTAGTTATGTACAGATTAGGTGATAATAAATTGATTTGAAAATGTGACCCATTTGTTTATACTTGAATAAAATGTGATTGATCTTGTCTGATGTGTTGTCAAGTACTGCTAGATTTGTTCCTCTGGTTTCCTAATGTTGTCAGGTACTGCTAGATTTGTTCCCCTGGTTTCCTTGTGTGTTAAGAAAATGATCTGCTAATGAAGACAGTATTATCTGTTTAGCACAGTCATTAGTGTGGAATGTTTTGTGATCCCTGAGAGCTGCTATTGTATTGTGACAGGGGGTGTACATTCATGTGTAAAAAAGTACACAGGGTTAGTTGTGGTTTGTATGCCAATGATAGGTGTTGGTGTTGCCCAAAACGTTAAAAGAAAATGGACTAGTTGTACGTTTCCTTAGTTGGTGATCTCCCTTACACAGTTCATAAAACATTGAAAGGGAGATAATAGTGAATTCTGGTTAGGCATTGCCTGGTGTCTGCCTCCCTTAGAATATTTTAAACCAGTACGAGATGACAAGATTATTAGAAAGTTTCTACTGTTTTGTTTTTAACTGAAAGTGTTTAATTTATGTTTTAAAAAGCAACAAAATTCAATATAATTAATAAAGCATATGTATATTATCCTGAAAATATTGTTGTATTTTATGAGTATTTCTATGTGTTGACAAGTTGGCTAATAATAAAATACTACTGCAAAGGCCTACGTTCATTGTTTAGAAAATAAAAAGGGCACCCAAATCTTCAGCCTATAGAAAATAAGAAATGCACCAAAATCTGGAGTTACTTGTAACTAACAGTTACGGCTTCTGCTACACTTATAGCATATTTTCCTTATTTTAAAAATCTTGGAACTAGTGTCCAGTTGATGTTAGCCACTACTTTGGTTGGTACTACACAGTGAACATTATTTTTATTCGTACCTTTTATAATAGATGGCTTGATTATATACAGTGAGTAAGTCTTCTATTTTTTTTAAAAAGGGAGATAACTTATGAAAACAAATATTTTACTGGAATTATTCGTGTTATCTCTCTTGGTAAATTCTTTGATCTGATCTGTAGGGTTGCAAAAAATTAAAATAAAAAAAAACCCTAAATATTTGATTTCGATTTCTAATGATCTCTTTGCTGGTTTTTATCATGGTGTAGTGTATGCTGATTATACCCAAGACGTGTACATGTAATAACGTATCCTTGCAGTCCATGGAGCAGGTGACGTTCACTTGTTTTAGTGACCTCGGCATATGATGGGATAGTGTGGTCAGCACTAACCCCAGCCGATTATTTTTTTTAAGTATCGTTTTTAGTCCCGTATTTTGTGATTAAAATCTAGTTTGTAGTCCTGATCTTCGTTATATAACTAAATTTTAAGGAACAGTTTTGATTGACGAGAAGAATTATTTCGACCGTTAAGAAGTTTTTTAAACTACTGCTTTGTAGATCTAGTGGCAAATGGTCATATTTGTGCTGGCAACATGAAAAGGTCGGGATGGGAGGGTGGGGGGAGAGAGACAAAAGTTGATTTTATGGACGCATACGATGACCGGATGAAGTGGATCTGGTTTATAAGTATCCCAATACGTTATAATTAGCATCAATGTGCCCATGGGATTTTAAAGCTTCAAAGTTCATGTAGGCCTCCAGTGCACGAAACAACCTACTTGCTAAATTAGTAAGGCTGTTTATAGTTTTTGGGGGCGGGAATACATTTTTTTAGCTTAATTTGTGGGCGTCCACTTTGTATTTGTTAGGCTACTGATTAATATAAACAAGTTACCTAGACTATTTCTGCTGAACTTTGGCCCGCATGTTTATAACATACACACACACCACACACATACACACACACACATATATATATATATATATATATATATATATATATATATATATATATATATATATATATATATATATATATATATATATATATACATATATATATATATATATATATATATATATATATATATACGTTTTTCTGGGAGCCGTTAAAGACTTAAGTGGACAAGTGGTTAAGATGAGGTTTATTTTTATCACCTGTTAATGCATGTTTACAAAAACAAGTTGCTTTTAACATCAAGGCCTGGACAAAATCTTTGAGCAGCTCTATGTGAAGCCGGCTTAAAGAAACGATTCAAGTTGTAGTTAATTTTTAACCCTTTCTTCTCCACAGACACCTATATATTTGTAACTCTGTGGCGGGGGTTTGAGATTATAATTGTTGATTGTGTTGAAGGCTCCTTCTGCACGGTGGGGAGATTGAGATTTATTGTGATCGTTGCTACGAACTCTCTAACAAATGGTTGTCCCATTTATTTGGCTATTTCTGTGTGTCTTGGCTCATATATATACAGGATCTAGGCAACACACACACACAGACGCACGCACACACACACACAGACGCACGCATACTCACACACAGACGCACACACAGACACTAGCACACACTATGTGAGTATGGTGGAAATACAAACACGTCTCTCCACCCAATCTTTTTTTTTTACATTAGCTTTTTTTTTTTAATTTCTCTTGAAGAAAAATGACGAAAATGTTTTGTTTTCATTAAAATATAACTTTTTTTTCCTCCATAAGGAAAATGTGTTGCTATGGTTTTTGGTTTGACGTAACACAAAAAACAATTTTCATGTGAGAGATATTTTTGGTATAAAAATATGCAATTTTCTAACATCTTTTGTTTAGGAGCTAATAGTCTTGAAGTAAACGAAATCTTTACTTTAAGAAAGTAACAGTAATGTTTCAATAAAGACATCTGTCAGTTGAAAAATAAAGAATCTTCTTTCAAGTGATGTTTAGAATCAATCACTGCAAGACAATGGAAGATGTGGATTAATTATTTAGCCAGCGCAGAATCAGTGGTAATTATTTAGGCTTGGCTATATTTAGCTTAGTGACGCAATTGATGCTCAGGTTGTGTTAAAGGCTCTAATCTCACATTTTGCGTCTTTTCATTACTATATCACCTATCTTGTCACATTTTGCCCCTTCATATATCACCTCTATTGTCACATTTTGCCCCTTCATATATCACCTCTATTGTCACATTTTGCCCCTTCATATATCACCTCTATTGTCACATTTTACCCTTTCATATATCACCTCTATTGTCACATTTTGCCCCTTCATATATCACCTCTATTGTCACATTTTTCTCTCTTGTCACTCCTTTCTTGTCACATCTTAACTCTTGTCACATCTCGCCAGCGGTCCCATCTCTACCACCGACATTAGGCTCTTAACATATTGAGCACTTGTTACCCACAATTCCACAGTTTCCAACCTTCACCTTCGCCATTTTCCTGCCTCCGGCCACCTTAATTAACTTAGATCTTCGCCGTCCAGCAAACTGTAGAAATCACATCAGGGTGATGTCCCCTGCCTGCCTGGAATATTTTAGTTGAAGGATACACTGTACCGGTTACCATTCTTACCATACCGGTTACCATTCTTACTGTACCGGTTACCATTCTTAGTGTACCGGTTACCATTCTTAGTGTACCGGTTATCGTTCTTTGTGTACCGGTTACCATTCTTACCGTACCGGTTACCATTCTTACCGTACCGGTTACCATTCTTACCTTACCGGTTACCATTCTTACTGTACCGGTTACCATTTTTACTGTACCGGTTACCATTCTTACTGTACCGGTTACCATTGTTACCGTACCGGTTACCATTCTTACTGTACCGGTTACCATTCTTACCGTACCGGTTACTATTCTTACTGTACCGGTTACCATTCTTACTGTACCGGTTACGATTCTTACTTTACCGGTTACCATTCATACTTTACCGGTTACGATTCTTACTGTACCGGTTACCATTCTTACTGTACCGGTTACCATTCTTACTGTACCGGTTACCATTCTTACTGTACGGGTTACAATTCTTCTCATTGGTTTGATTAAGCAAGACGGCAGAACATGGCTTGGTACGGATATTTTACTAGTTAAACGGCGTTTCGTTTGTTAGGCTTAATCTGCCTATCTTGTGTTATGTCTTTAGATCTTTTACATCAAGATATTTAGAATGAAATACTGGGCCCGATGATTTTGTCCGAAAAAAATTGTCTGAGGTCTTTGGGTAGTTTGATCTTAGATGTTGTCTAAAATATTTTTACCGAGATCATTTGTGTGAATTATTTTTGCCTGTAATATTTGTGTGAAATAATTGATTGTTACAGTATCCTGCCAACCCTTAAATTTGTTACAGTATCGTGCCAACCCATTAATTTGTTACAATGCCATGCCAACCCTTTAATTTGTTACAGTGTCTACCCTTTAATTTGTTACAGTGTCAACCCTTTAATTTGTTACAGTGTCTTGCCAACCCTTTAATTTGTTACAATGCCATGCCAACCCTTTAATTTGTTACAGTGTCTACCCTTTAATTTGTTACAGTGTCAACCCTTTAATTTGTTACAGTTTCGTTTCCTTCCTTTACAGAGCGGTGCCAACCTTCTTGTCTATTGCAGTGACTTGCCAACCATTTGATTTTTTTTGCAGCGTACTGCGAACCCCTTTATATTGTTACAGTGTTGTGCCAACCCTTCTATTTAATACAGTGCCTTGTCAACCCTGCCAACCCTGTGGTTGCCGATTCGAAAGAAACAAACAACTCAGCAATAATTAATTAAACATAATTTACATTTTTAATCAACTTAATAAAAGCAATCAATTCATTATCTCACCCTAATTAAAGACCCGTTTTTGGCCTTGATTTTCATCTTGGCGAAATGTGTTTTCCCCTAATTACCTGGCTCTTATTGAAGCCTCTTTAAAATTTTTGCGACAGCCATCACGTTTTATTTTTGTGTGAACTGAATGTGGACACACAGGCAACAAAATATGTACCTTTAGACTTTTTATCTCGATACACATACACAACGAGACCCGTCTTAGACGACGGGCTACGACGCTAGTCACAAAATGTTGTCCTATTAACTTGAACTAAGATCCCTAATTGCCTTCATCAGCTCTCAGGGCAGCTAAAACACCAGCCCAATGACTGTCGTTAAGGACTGGGTAATGAGTGATTAAAGTTTTAAACGAAATTTAAACCCGAATTTTCAAGACAAAAGGAAGTGACGTCACGCGGAATTCTAGCCGTTGATTGGCTGACGTTTAGAGGGGAAATTCCACAACGCCCTTCGAATTTTATTTCTTTTTGTAACGTGTAATGTAGTTTTTAAAATGAAAGTAGTAATGGCGTGTCTTCATCTCTGTCAGATAACTATGGCCATATTGTTGTCAAATACATTCGGAGCTTTAAAATAAAGGTAAAGTTCCCAAACTAACAAAAATGGAAGAATTCTGAACAAGAGTCGGTAATGAGGTTTTAGTTCAGTTTGCATACAAGGCGTTTTCTTATGCCTGAGATAGCTGAATGTTTTTTTTTATGTTTGCCACTTTCTACATATATACACACACACACACATACGCACACACACGCACACACACACACGCACGTACACACACACACACACAGACACACACACACACACATATATATATATATATATATATATATATATATATATATATATATATATATATATATATATATATATATATATATATATAGTGTATTGCGTATCTGAAA